GAGGAGTTCCAGTCGGGCCGTGTGTCCAAGGAGCGCATGATCATCATCATCATCGAGATCATCGAGAAGACTGAGATCATCCGGCAGCAGAATCTCACCTCCTATGACTACGTCCGGCGCCGCATCACGGCTGAGGACCTCTACGAGGCCAAGATCATCTCTCTAGACATCTACAACCTGCTGAAGCAGGGCTCCAAAACCTTCCGGGAGCTCCTGGATGTGGAGACTGTCTGGAAGTACCTCTACGGGTCAGGCTGCGTGGCTGGCATCTACATCCCCTCCTCCAAGCAGAAGCTCAGTATCTACCAGGCCCTGAAGAAGGGGCTGATCAACTCTGAGGTGGCCCGCTCCCTCCTGGAGGCCCAGGCTGCCACCGGTTTCATGATCGACCCCGCAAAGAATGAGATGCTGACCGTCGACGAAGCGGTCAGGAAAGGCGTGGTGGGGCCTGAAATCCATGACCGGCTCTTGTCCGCAGAGAGGGCCGTGACCGGATACAGAGACCCATACAGCGAACAGAAGATTTCCATCTTCCAGGCCATGAAGAAAGACCTGATTCCCAGCGAAGAGGCCCTCAAGCTCCTGGATGCCCAGATAGCCACCGGTGGCATCATCGACCCGCACCTGGGCTTCCATCTGCCCCTGGAGGTGGCCTGCCAGCGGGGCTTCATCAACAAGGACACGTACGACATGCTGTCTGAGCCCAGCGAGGTGCGAAGCTACGTGGACCCATCCACGGAGGAGAAGCTCAGCTACACGCAGCTCCTGAAGCGGTGCCGGAAGGACGAGAACAGCGGGCTCCTCCTGCTCCCGCTCTGCGACACGAGGAAGCTCACCTTCCGGGGGCTGCGGAAGCAGATCACCGTGGAGGAGCTGGTCCGTTCGCAGGTGATGGATGAAGCCACGGCCCAGCGCCTCCAGGAGGGCCTCACCTCCATCGAGGAGGTCTCGAAGAACCTGAAGAAGTTCCTGGAGGGCACCAGCTGCATCGCTGGCGTCTTTGTGGACTCCACGAAGGAGCGGCTGTCCGTGTACCAGGCCATGAAGAAGGGTATCATCAGGCCAGGCACTGCCTTTGAGCTGCTGGAGGCACAGGCAGCCACGGGCTATGTGATTGACCCCATCAAGGGCCTCAAGCTGACGGTGGAGGAAGCTGTGAGGATGGGCATCGTGGGCCCCGAGTTCAAGGACAAGCTGCTCTCCGCTGAGAGGGCGGTCACCGGCTACCGGGATCCCTACTCCGGAAAGCTCATCTCCCTCTTCCAGGCCATGAAGAAGGGCCTGATCCTGAAGGACCACGGGATCCGCTTGCTGGAGGCCCAGATTGCAACGGGAGGCATCATCGATCCCGAGGAGAGCCACCGCCTCCCCGTGGAGATTGCCTACAAGAGGGGCCTCTTCGACGAGGAGATGAACGAGATCCTGCTGGATCCCAGCGACGACACCAAGGGCTTCTTCGACCCCAACACAGAGGAGAACCTCACCTACCTGCAGCTCATGGAGCGGTGCATCACCGACCCAGAGACCGGCCTCTGCCTCCTGCCCCTGAAGGAGAAGAAGCGGGAGAGGAAGACCTCCTCCAAGTCCTCCGTCCGCAAGCGCCGGGTGGTGATCGTCGACCCGGAGACGGGCAAGGAGATGTCCGTGTACGAAGCCTATCGCAAGGGCCTCATCGACCACCAGACCTACCTGGAGCTGTCGGAGCAGGAGTGCGAGTGGGAGGAGATCACCACCTCCTCCTCCGACGGCGTGGTGAAGTCGATGATCATCGACAGGCGCTCAGGGCGCCAGTACGACATCGACGATGCCATCGGCAAGGGCCTGATCGACCAGTCGGCCCTGGACCAGTACCGCTCGGGCACCCTCTCCATCACCGAGTTCGCAGACATGCTCTCCGGCAACATGAGCGGATTCAGGTCGCGGTCGTCCTCCGTGGGATCATCCTCCTCCTACACCGTCAGCCCGGCCCCGACGCGAACGCAGATATCCATGTGGAGCGACCCGACCGAGGAGACCGGGCCGGTGGCGGGCATCCTGGACACAGACACGCTGGAGAAGGTGTCCATCACGGAGGCGATGCGCCGCAACCTGGTGGACAACATCACAGGGCAGAGGCTGCTGGAAGCGCAGGCCTGCACCGGTGGCATCATCGACCCCAACACCGGGGATAAATGCTCTGTCGCCGACGCGGTCAACAAGGGCCTGGTCGACAAAATCATGGTGGACCGCATCAACCTGGCGCAGAAGGCCTTCTACGGCTTCGAGGACCCGCGGACCAAGACGAAGATGTCGGCGGCCCAGGCCCTGAAGAAGGGCTGGCTGTACTACGAGGCTGGGCAGCGCTTCCTGGAGGTGCAGTACCTGACGGGGGGCCTGATCGAGCCCGACGTCGAGGGCCG